GGCGGGCAGCGTGCGGGCAGCGAGCGGGCAGCGTGCGGGCAGGCTCCGTCTGCAGGGCTGGCCTCAGAAAGTGACTTCACCGAGTCCCGTCATCTTCCGCAGCGGAACAAGCTGTCATTGCAGAGTTCTGCAGATTGTCGCGTGGTTTCTTTGGCGGGAGCGGCTCGGTGTCTGTGGGAGTGGAGCCAACCGACTTTCTGAAAAGCACTCGCCTTCCAGACCCGCACAGCGTTCACTGAGGCGCGGGCGCCGTGAGCCAGCACGATCTCGGGGGACACGGAGGCCCCGGGCCCGGCCTATCTGGCGCCCACGGTTTCTAAGAAAACAATTATCGCCCCCAGGAATACTGATGGACGACACCACGCTCAAGTTTCACGACGTTGTTCCTGGCGGGGTTCTCTCTCTGTGCGTCTGGCACTATGACGGATGGACAGAGCTGGTCGTGGCCGCCGTGGAGGGGGACCCTGCTAAGGTCTCTCCCTCTGCGCGGCGGAGACCGGGGGTGGTGGTGGCAGCCGGGAGCTCACTGAGTCTTTGTTCCAAGAGTTGAGTAAAAGTCTCAGCGTAGGGAAAAAGTCCCCCAGGGCGGTGTCCTGCAGCCCGGCCTGGGCTGGCGCTCACCCCTGCTCGGTCAAGGTCCCGCTGACCTCCGCTGCCCGTTCCTGGAGCCTGCTCACCCCAAAGGGTGGGCGTTTCCCCTCACGCGTCTGAGTCACAAAGTCAAGGACGCAGCTTCCGGGTGAACCGCGAGCGAGGGACGGGCAGTTGGGGTGGCCTGGCCGTCCGCCCTGGACGTGGGTCTCGCGACTGGCCCCTGGCTTTCTGCGGCCCCCTGCGGTGGCCCTGGCCTCTCACACCGGCCCCCTCCTGGAGCCTGGAGAGTGCCGGGCTCGGAGCCCCCTGCGCCAGGCGACTGCCCAAAGCTCGCAGGGACAGTGGGCCCAGAAGCGGACCGCAGGCCAGAGCCGGCAGGTCTCCGAGCCAGCGGCTCCCGGGGGGCCCGTCTGGGGGCTGAGGTCTTCTTCAGCCACCCCACCCCCCGCTGACACCCAGAGAAGCCCCCTCCCAACAAGCACAGGAAGCGCACCCCGCCGCCCCCGGCCGAGAAGCCATGTGGCCCGGGGTGTCTGAGCGTGCAGTGTCCTCCCGGGGCTGTGGTGGCCCTTGGGGCTGACCCCGGCCGGTGCGGCCCCTCGGGCGGGCTGGGGCTGGGAGGCGCTCACGGGGCCCCCGCCTCCCCCCGCCCATGTCTCCCCAGCTCTGCGGGCTCGGTGTGGTCGAGGGCTCCTTCTTCCGGACGGCCAACTCGCAGCACTTTGACGAGGGCCAGTGGCGGCGGTGGATGGCCCAGCGGGCCTTCGTGGCCTTGTACATCTCTTCCCACAGAGGCCACGTGGAAGCTGTGCAGTACCTTCTAGAAAAGGGTAATTCTGAGAGTGTGCAGAGCTCAAGAGTCCGGGGCTCCTCCCGGGCAGCCTGGCGTGGGCACATGTGAGACTGGCAGGTGCCCTCCTGACCGGGCCTTGAGGACACCTTGGTCAGGACACGAGGCGGGAGCAGCCAGGGCTTGCAGGCTGGACCCCTCTGGCCACACTGGCCGCTGGGTGAGTCCGGCTGCCTGTCCAGGCCGCTGCTGGGGAGCTTCTGCAGGTGTCCCGACCCCAGCTGGCAGTGTCCCCCACACCCAGACTCCTGCCAGCTGTCGGAGTTTCTCTCGGGGGCCCTGCGCCCCGAGCCATCTTCATCTCCTCTGCTGGGCGGCCCCTCTCTCCTCGCTTCCCTCTGGCCCTGTCTGCCCATCCATCGAAAGAGGCCTCAGCCAGGTATGAGCTCAGGTGCTGGGCGTCTGCATGAAGTCGGGGTGGGGCTCCGAGTGTGTCCCCTTCTGCCCACCGGGGAGGCCGCCCCGGTTCACACATGGCCCAGACCCAGCCTCCCCCAGAAAGGCGAGAACGAGCCACGGGGCCGGGCCCAGTTTGGGGGCCCCTGGGGGCCTCGGCTCCCAGACCGCGCCTCTCCCTGCCAGTCGCCTGGACCCAGCCCGACGGGACATGCGTGCTGCTCCTGCAGGGTGCCCGCCACCAGGGAGGACCGGCCGTGATGGGGGGTGTCCCGTCGTCCCCCTTCCTCCTCCCCTGCATCCCTGCACCCTGCCTGTTGTGAGATGAAATATGGGCTCTGCACAGCCCAGAAATCCTTTAAGCTCGTAAAGTCATTTCCACTCTGATGGAACTGTGGTGTACTTGGCAGTGCCCGTTAACACATTGCCTCTGGCTCTGCCCAGTTTTCTGTCCTCTGCAGACAGGCTCTGTGCGGAGGCCGGGCCGAGGCCGGGCCTTGGAGAACCTACTGAAACCTCCCCTGGCCGGCAGCCGCCGCTCACGAGAACTGGCTGCGCGATGTCGGCTGCCTGCAATCGAATCGCCTTGTTTTCTGTGTCATGATACTTGTTATTCAGAATTTGATTCAATTCAACAAGTCTGTATCGGACACCTGTCAGCAGCCTGTCCATCGGCGGGAGGGGGCCCGGGAGCGGGCCTGTCCTTGGGCCAGGCCGCCCGCCGTCTGTCGTTTCCCGCGCGCCTGTCTCCTGCAGGCCCCGCGCCGCGTGCTGGGGGTGAACAGCAGCCGCCCCCGCGAGTGTGGCCTGCCCTGGAGGCGTGTGTGAGGCAGGCAGCAGTGACCGCCCATCACTGCTGGCAGGGCCGAGGGCGTGGAGCGCGCTCGAGGTGCTGCTGTCTGCGGGGCACCCACGCGAGGGGCAGGCCCGAGGCAGGGACCGCGTGAGGCTGGTTCTCTCCGCATGGTGCGTGCAAAGGCCCTGGGGCAGGATGTGGCCGCGAGGCAGATGCGGGGCGGCGAGGGGGAAGGCCGGGAGAGCAGAGGGGTGCCGGCGAGGTGGGATGAAGCGCCGGGAGACCGAGACTCTCCCCCAGTGGGGAGGGGAGGTGGGCGCTTCCGAAAGGCTCCGACCACCCCTGGGGCGTGCTGGCCGCAGGTGGTTCTGGGCGCTGAGTCTGAGGTGCCCCCCGATGCCTGAGCGGGGGCTGGGGGGCCCGTCGCCCCCCCCGGGGAGCCTCGTGGGCCTGTGCTGCTCCCCTGCCCTCTTCCCGGAGGCGTCTCTGGACTTGCCGCGGCCGGGGCGGGCTGCCCTCAGCCAGCTTCCTTCTCCCCCAGGAGCCAACTGTCTGGGCAAGTCCCCCCTGGGCAGGACGCCGCTGCACGTGGCCGCAGCCATGGGCCAGCTGGACTGCATCACCCTGCTGCTCAGCTTCGGCGCCTCCACCAGCATCAAGGACGCCAAGGGGGAGACCCCGCTGGCCGTGGCCCGCCGGCTGAACCGCAAGCAGAGCGAGCGCCGCATGTTTCTGTTCTCCTGGAAGAGCAAGACCGGGGGGAAGGACCCGGCGCAGCTGCTCACGGGCCCCGAGTTCCAGAAGGCCAAGTCTGGGCTCGGCCTCAAGCAGAGGATGGGGACATAGCTCCCGCTCGGGGCGTCCGGGCAGCACGCGGGCGACCCCGGGGTCCGGGTGCCGGGAGGGCGGGGATGCCGGGAAACACGGACAGGAGTCCAGCTCGGACACCGAGCCAGCCGTCCGTCTCCAGTGGCCCGGGGAGTGCGGCC